AGGGAATGGCTTCCCAGTGCCAGAGGGCAGGGAGAGATGGGAGACTGGGAAGGAATTCCTGGCTGGGAGGGTGGGAAGCCCTGGCCCAGGTTACCCAGAGAAGCTGTGGCTGCCCCTGGATCCCTGGAAGTGTCCAAGGCCAGGTTGGATGGGGCTTCAACTCCCCTTCCTCATCATCTGTAAAATATTTCTAAAAGCAAACACAAAAGGATTATTCTTTTTTCATAAATTACAGGTTGGTTGGTTTTTTTTGCACAAAAGCAAGAAATCATCAATAACCCTTTTGTCATTCACTTAGATAAGAGGTTGTGGTTCCAGGAGCTGGGAGAGGTATTAGGAGATACCAGATTATGGAAAGGGTGGGAGGGTCTCTTATAAAAGCAGGAGAAAACTTGCACAGACAAAATTGCCAAGGAAAGCTGAAGAAAAGCAGCTGTGTCAGAAGGTGGGATGGGGAGGATTGATCTCCTTTAACAAAAAATATATGGGACAATAAATTAGTGGTGAAGGTGCCTGTGAAGCTCCTCAAGCCTCGTGTAGAGGCTCTGGTTTTTCTTCTCTTAAATCTGTTTTCCCCCTGGTTTAACTCCCCTTTTCCCAGCTCCTTCCTTTGCTCTGGGCAGTTGGATGTCTCCAGGTCTGGATCCAGTTTGTGCAGTTTGTGCTCCTCACAGACCCAGCTCTGTTCACTGGACTGTTAAACCCAGCCCAGGGCCCTGTGCCAGCCCAAACACAGCACCTGGCAAACCAAAAACATCACCTGGTGAACCAAAAACATCACCTGGCAAACAAAAAACATCTCCTGGCAAACCAAAAACATCACCTGGTGAACCAAAAACATCACCTGGTGAACCAAAAACATCTCCTGGCAAACAAAAAACATCTCCTGGCAAACCAAAAACATCACCTGGTGAACCAAAAACATCACCTGGTGAACCAAAAACATCTCCTGGCGAACTTCAGAGTCTTCAAGGACCTCAGGTTCTTAAACTGGGTGTTAGTGAAAAGAAATCTGCATTCTTAAATAACCATCACAGCGTAAATCTGGTTCAAGGAGACAGGAATCCTTGAAATTAAGCTTAAAGAAATGTAAATTGTCTTCTGGGGTGGGAATGTGGGCCGGGAGTGGCTTTTGTGATGCACCAGGGCTGTGTCTGGTTTAACCTGCTGCTCTCTGTGGTGATGGTGACCCCAAATTTCCCTCAGGAACCGCCCTGGGCTGTCCGTGGATCCCACCTGGGACCTCAGGGCTGGCACTGGGAAGGCTGTGTGGCCACTGGAAGCACATTCCTCATTCCCACCCTAATCCTGGTTGTTGCAGTTAATAACAGCTTGGTTCCTGTCACTGATCCAGGGGTTCCCTTTGGATGAGGGATCTCTGCACAGCACTGGGATAACCAGCAACTCCCAAATCCAGCGGTTGGATGCTGATTTAAAAAGCTGCCCTTTCAGTTGTGATTCCCCTCAGGGTTCCTTGTGGCACCAAATGCAGCTGGGAACAGATCCCAACATTGGCTGCTTTCAGTTAATACAACCCAAAAATCAGCCTCTGTTCCCCAGTGTGTTTAGAGTTAACAAAGAGAATTGTTTGGGAGTAGCAGGAGCTGCCTCAGCACTGGGGGCACTGCCTGTTCCCAGCCTGGGTTAATCTGTTAGTGCTGAACATGCCCAGGGGCACAGAGCTCGTGTGGAACATGGGACAGATCCAGGTGCTGCCTTTCCTTCCCACCCTGGATCTGTCTCCTCAGCTGTCTCTGCTTTCCCTGTCTCAAACCTCCCTGTCCCTTTCTCTGTCACCTCAGGGTGCTGGCACTGCTGAGGACTATTGGAAATGGCTCTTAACACCTATTTCAGCAGCATTTCCCAGGCAGCTGCAGCCTGGGTGAGGCATCCAGGGAATCCTGGACTGCTTTGGGTGGGAAGGGACCTTCAAGCACGTCCAGTGCCACCCCCTGCCATGGGCAGGGACACCTTCCACCAGCCCAGGCTGCTCCAAGCCCTGTCCAGCCTGGCAATAGGAGCCAGCTGGAGCTGTGTCACCCTCTGGAGCTGAGCTGTGAAGGACCAGATCTTAAACTGCCCCCCTTTGTAAAGGGGTGTTGTAAGGTGTGTGTAAGTCAGGTGTAAGTCAGGCTGACTTGCAAAGTGCTGTTTGCATTTAGGTCGATGCTGTTCAGTGCCAGAAGGTCCTTCTCAGGTCAGCACAGTCCTCCCCACTCTTCCTCATGGAAATCATCCTGGCTGGGACACGGATGATCCTCCATCCCTGGAGGAGAAGGCTTTCCTCCTCCATCCCTGGAGGAGAAGGCTTTCCTCCTCCATCCCTGGAGGAGAAGGCTTTCCTCCTCCATCCCTGGAGGAGAAGGCTTTCCTCCTCCATCCCTGGAGGAGAAGGCTTTCCTCCTCCACTGGGCTACTGGCCCCTGTCGACCTTGAGTAACCAAAAGGGTCTGCAGACAAGCTCCCCAGAAACAAATTAAACCTGGGCCTAGACCAAGTCCTTTTAGCACATCCCAGACTGGACTCTGTGAGTGCTGGAGCAAACCCTGCTCAGCAGGAAGCCCAGGGAGCATTTCCCTGCCACGGGAGCGGGACGGAAAAGGGAATCGCGCGGATCGTCTGCAGTGGGACTCTCTCCCTCTGCTGTCGCTGGCTCTTTGCACTGACACTGTGTCCTCCCCTCCCTGCCCCGGCGAGGCACTGACGGCTCTGTTGGTCCTTGGCAGTGTCCTGGACAGCCCGGGCCGGCTGGACGAGGAGCACCGGCTGATCGCCAGGTACGCCGCGCGACTCGCCGCCGAGGCCGCCAGCGCCGTAAGTGACCTGGGGGCAGGGGGGCTCTGGGCTGGGATGGGCAGGATGGGGAGCTGGGTTCCCACCCCTGCACCAAACAGTCGGGGTTGGTTTGTCCAGCAGCACAGTTCCCTGTTCCAGCAGGGATCCGGAGCAGGGAACGGGAATGGGGGACGGGAGCGCGGATGATCCCAAACCAACGAGGTCAGGGGAGCTGAGGGAATAAGCAGATTAGTCCTGCTTAGCCCAGAGAGGAGATAAATGCGTAGAGAGCTGGGGAAAACAAATCAGTGTTAGTGGAAGGTGTTTATTCCAGAGGGAAGGGGCCTGGGAGACGAAGGTGGTTTCTGCATCCTGGATTTCTTCTCATGGGAAAGGGAAACACCCAACACGTTGTAAATGGGTAAAAATAAATCCTGCTCCGACAGAAAAGATGCTACAGGACAACAATAAGAATTTACTGAAATTCTGTGGAATGTTTTCAGGCTACCTGGATGGGGAGGTTATTTATCCCCAGGGAAGGAGAGCAGAGTTTGCAGGAACCATCTCCTGCATTCCTGAATTCCTTCAGTGTGTGTTCAGCTCATAACCCACCTCTGGCAGAGGGATGGGAGCAGACAGTTCTGTAAAACTTTAATAAAAGCAGAATTGTGCTTTTTGAACATCTTTAAGTGGCAGTTCCCAACACCTCTGTCAAAGGGTGGGGTTGCACGTCCCAAGCCGTTCTGTTCAGCAGGACCGTGGTCATGTTAAAATATTAAACTGATAAAGTGCCAAGTTTCAGGTTTGGATGGAAAAAGGAGGAAATTTCCATGCAGCCATGTAAAATTCAAGTTGTTTAATGAGACAGTAAGTGCTGAATCACCGTCACGCTGGAAGGTGGTGGAACAGTTCTTACTCATGACTTGACTTTTTCTGGTGGAAACAAAGTGTTACGAAAACCAAGGAGTCACCAACCAGTTCTGAAAGAACCTGGTGGTTTAAAAACCTGTGAATCACCTCGGCCTGCTCCCGTGTCCATTTTAGTTCTGGGAGGGGTCAAAACCTGAAGCAATTATTTGGGTGTACAGAGCAGCATTTTGAGTTTACTGAGGCTTTTCAGAGTCCTGTGACAAATCCCTGCTTTCTTTTCACCCCCGTGAGTCCCGTGGAAGGGCAGATGTCAGAGCAGTGCCAGGGGCTGACGTGGGACAGGGAGAGGATGAAAGAGCAACAACAGTGTGTTTCCATTGCAACCAGAGCTTGGCCACGAGGAATCTGAAGTTATTTACTGGCTCCACTGTTTATTCCCAGTCCAGAAATGCCAATCAGCTGAAATGGTTGGATTTCTTTTTTGTGTTCTGAAGGAACCCAAGTTGAAAGGGTTTGCTTCGTGGCAGCTTCTCGTTATTCCTCACCAATGGAAAGCCCTCCTTCCTTGTCCAAGCTGGCCACTGCAGCTTGGTGGGGAACATCCCCCTGAGCCCTGGGACAGTGGGACGTGTCCATGTCCGTGGGGACAACGTGCCACGTCCACGGGGACACGTCTGGGAGATGAAACAGCTGAGACCTTTGAGATGTTAGAGCCAAAATCATGGGGTTTTTTCAATATTCTTCTTGCAACATTAACACAGAGAGAGAGAGAGACAGGAGTGAAGGAGAGGCTGGGAAATCCAAAACAAACAAACAAAAAAAAGAGCAATTTTTTCTTTCCACGAGGACTTAAAATGGGGAACATCAGATGAAAACCCCAATGGAATAAACATCTTGGAGATCCAGTAGGAGAAAGATGCTCGTTGAGTATTGGATATTGGGAAGGAATTCCTGGCTGGGAGGGTGGGGAGGCCCTGGCACAGGTTGCCCAGAGAAGCTGTGGCTGCCCCTGGATCCCTGGGAGTGTCCCAGGCCAGGTTGGACAGGGTTGGAGCAACCTGGGCTGGTGGGAGATGTCCCTGCCCATGGCAGGGGGTGGGACTGGATGGGCTTTAAGGTCCCTTCCCACCCAAACCATTCCAAGCTGCTTTGGAAAACAGGTAACACAACTTGGGATGTCACTGGAGCTGCCTGGCAGTGACTGGAGAGACCTTGCCAGGCTGGAGGAACTCCAGCGAGGTGGAGCAGAGCCCAGGGCTGATCCTGGTCACAACACACAGGGGGGAGGCTGAGTCAGCTTTGGAGATGGAGAGGAGAAAGCAAAGGAGGGTCTTGGTGCTGCCTGAAGCCTCCCTGAAGAGCCAGACGTGGCCCTGTCATCAGGGCAACCCCTCACACAGCCAAGGTCACCCAGCACAGAGCCCTCAGGGAAGGGACAGCAGGCAACAGAGGCTGCAAGAGAGGGAATTCCAGCTGGATGCTAAGAAAATCTTTTGTCTCCACCATAATGGTCAAACACTGTGGTCCAAGAGGCTGGCCAGAGGAGAACTGGGAGCTCCCTCTGGAGATGGTCAGAGCTCAGCGAGAAGGACTCGAGTGACCTGCTGTGAATGGACGTGGATGGAAACCTCCAGAGCTTCCTTCCCACCTGGATCTTACTGAGAATCTGGACCTTAATGGAAGTGAAAAATGGAGGGGAAAAAAAAAAAGCACCATAAGGGATTTATGGAATATTTGTCAGTGGAGACTCTGAAAGCGAGGTAGAGCAGTATCTGCTGGGAACACTTGGGAGAGGCTGATGTGAATGGAATTGTGTCTTGCTGTCCTCTCCAGCCCTGCCTGGCAGATGGGATGTGCTTTATTTGCTGACATGCTCTAACTGAGGGAAATGCAGAGGGTCCCAGGGACAGTGTTCATGCTCCAGCAGCCAGGTGCAAAGATTCTGACTCCTTCCTTTGAAGTCATCTGAGTGGACAGTGGGAATCGTCCCTGGGACAGTGTGGCCGTGGGTCTGACCCAGCCCACCCCTCTCTGCTGTTTCTCCAGGGTTGGAGGTGTCTCTGCAGGGCTGTTCTGGGGTGAACATCTCTCACCACAGGAGTGCAAACACACCCGTTAACGTGTTTGGGGGAAAAGCCTTTGCTCAGTGTCTGACCGGGACAAAATAATTTGAGGCAGATCTGAGGGTTCATTCCTGAAATCCAGGTCTGTCTGTTGTTGAAGAGGGGCAGTAGCTGGGGAGGAGGAAGGAGAGGGGGAGGAGGAAGCCTCGGTGCCAGGGGCAGCCGTGTCGCACGAGCAGGGCATGGCAGGGGGGTCTGTGTCCACTCAGAGAGCTCTGACTGAGCTGCTCTTGTTCCCCTCGAGCCACTCTGCAGACAGAACATCCCTTTTATTGAATCTGAGTGCTCAGGGCAGGGCTGGCCCTGCCCATCTGCTGCTGGCAGAGCCGTGACCCCAGACAGCTCCACCGAGGCAGAGCGGGAGAGGCAGCAGGTGAGGAGAGGGATGGAGTGAGGGCATCAGCAGAGAACAGTCCAAACTTCAATTAAATCACAACTTTCAGGATCACAGCTTCATCCCTGTGTCTCCCTCTGCTGCTCTGCCCACATTGTCAGCCCCAGGTGAGGAGTAATCTGCTCTTTCCTGCCCAACATCACCTTGGTGATGAAATCGGGGACTGGAGCAGATCTCCTGCATCCCCCTTGGCTGCTTTCGCCCACAAAATCCACATCCACATCCATGGCAGGTCCCACCTCAGTGCTGCCTGACCCCTTGAATACGGGTAATCCTGCAGGTGAGGTGGCTGCACCCCCAGAGAAGGAAGGATCACCTGTGTTTTGGGTGAATATATGTGTGTGTATATATATATATATATGTATATACAGCTGTTTTTGTGAAGCAACCCCAGGGCCTCTGTCACCAGTATCCCCCACAACCTCCTTCATCCCTTCTCCCAGCTGCTGCACCTCAGCTCTGGTTTCTCCCCATTCCCTGCTGTCCTGCAGGGTCTCTCCCCGTTGGGCAGGCTGGTCTGTGGGGCACAGGTTGGGTGGGCACTGACCCCCCTGGCAGGGGCAGAGCTCGGGGCCCCCGTGCTGGGCTGTGCAGCCCCGCTGTGGGGGCAGGCACTGGCACCTCACAAACACAAGCCAATGCTCAGTTCTGGCTGAGTGGGTAATTAGGTTGAGTTATGTGGATGAGTTACGATAATTAGGTTGTTCTTGCCCACGTTGCTCTTTTTTTGAAAACTCCGTGGTTTGCTCTTCCCTCAGCATCAGGCACTGCTAAAAGCCTGTGATCATCTCATCTCCTGAAAGCTGCCCACAGCCTAAATAACAGAATATTCCCCACGTGGAACTTCTCTTTCAGGTGTTGGGCATTGTTTAATGCATCATTTTTAAATAAAAGGATGAGTAAACCGTTTTTTTCCTGTCAGATAAATCCGCAGCTTGGTTCTTGGATCATTTCTTCTTCTCCTTGATAAACCAGCTAAATGAACCATTTTTGTCATTTGGTTCCCCTCCTTTGCCTGTTGGTCACCAAGAACCCTGTGGCACCACAGTGATGGGCAGCTGAAGGGCTGGCTCAGACTTTCCGTGACACTGTGAGGTCCTTGCACCAAGGAACCCGGGACCTGATGCTCAGGAGACTCAAACTTTGCTGTTCTTTCACAGTTTCTTCCAAATGGTGGTGATGGGAAGCACAGTAGCTGCCAACCTGGCTCTGGGGGCTTGTTTGAACACCCCCTTCTCTCCCCCCAAACAAGGATAGTGTAGGTGAGGTCTGAATGCTCCTGTCAGCAAATCCCACTCCAGCAGGGAGGTGGATGATCCTTATGGATCCCTTCCAGCTGGAGATCCTCTTTGGTTCCTGACCTGCAGTTCCAGCATGGCTCACTCCCTGGATTAATGGCCAGTTCACAGGGAAACTAAAATTACAGTGAAACACAGGTTTCCCTGGTCCTGTGTGATGGGAAGGATTCTGAGTAGATTTTACGACCATCACATGGATTTTCTTGCTGGGGGAAAATGGGCCCTTGCCACTTGGATGATCTGAGAGCTGTTGAGGCCTCAGCAGAAGTTGAGTTGTTGGTTTTAGTTGGGTTTTTTTCAGTAATTTTGACTTACACTGTTGGCTCCCAGCAGGCCTTTGCACTCTGTAGTAGAAAGCCCTGGTAAGAGTGGAGTAGCAAAGGGATATTCCCTGGAGCTCAGAGCTGCTGAGCAGGCAGGAGCTCAACCTGTGGGCTTTTAAAGCATGGAATTACAGCCATAAATCTTGGCAGACACGAGTCATTCAGACCTGCCTGGGGAGATGGAGAGCAGACACAGCAGTGCTGACTAGGAAATGAAGGGTTTGGGTTGGGTTTATTTCTTCTGAGGGCAGAGGTTTTGAAAACCACACACGACTTTCCCAGGGAGGGCAGGTCCCTCCCCTCGGGATAAACAGCAACGTGCAGATGTGGGGATGGATTCTGTGCCCGGGTTTACGAGGAGGATGGAATTTGCCATCACAATCCCACCCCTCCAGACTGTTCCAGGGTGGTGACAGTGAGAATCTGGTGTTGATAACAGGCTGGGCAGAAATGAGAGCAGGGAGTGCAGTCGGTGCAGCCCTGGCACAGCTGCCCAGGGCAGGGGGGGTCCCATCCCTGCAGGGATTTAAAAGCCCTGGGGATGTGGCCCCTGGGGACGTGGGTCAGGGGAGGCCTGGGCAGTGCTGGGAGAAAGGTGGGACTGGATTTTTCCAACATGATTCCACGTGTTCTGGAGGAGCTCACTCACTGAAAAAGTGCAGGCTGGTACGTGAAGCCCACGATGGTGTTACCTCACACTACCTCATCCCACGCCCTGCCATGGGCAGGGACACCTTCCCCTGTCCCAGCTTGCTCCAAGCCCTGTCCAGCCTGGCCTGGGACACTTCCAGGGACAGGGCAGTGATGGGAAACTTTCCATGTTTCCAGAGGCAATGACCATGTTTAAATTTAATGCCTGTGAATATTGTTCCTTTCCATGGATGGTGTTTCCTGGCCTTCGTGGTGCCAAGGGGTGCCAAGGGGTGCCAAGGGCAGTGTGGGCAGTCTGGGGGTCCCACCTAACATGGCATGAGATGGGGGTCTGGGTTCAGGTTTATTGAACAAGGAATTATTGCAGCTGAATGCACTGAGAGGCTTCATTTAACCCCAGAGTCACTGCAAGGGGATGGATTGGGAAGGGGGAGAGCTGGGACCTCTGGAGAGCACAAGGAGTCAGGATCAGCTGGGGGAAGACCTCCCTGTGGAGATGTTTCTGTGGAGCTGTTTCTGAGCACTGATGAAGCTCTGAGAGCTGAGCCAGGGGGTGCAGAACGTGCCTGTTGTCAGCATGGGGGGTGTCCAGCAGGGCTCTGGGTCCCAGACTGAGCTGTTGGTCATTCCAGGCTGTCCTGGACGGGGTCACTCCAGCTGCTCTTCACTGACTGACACGTGGCAGGGTCAGTGTTTCACCAGGGCACTTCATGAGAAAAGGAGTGGCTGGGTTTGTTCCCGGGAAGATCCTTGGGGTGCTGTAGGCACTGGTAGGTGTGGGGGCTTGTTTTCTAAACAAGACCTAAAAAATACGGCAAATCCTGTTCCTGGATAGTGAGGATGAGGCAGCAGAGCAGCCCCACCCTGGGCTCAGGCCGGGTCACCAGCAGCCCCCCTCGCTGTGTCCCAGGGCTGGGGCAGCCTGGGAGTTCTGGGGCTGGATGCAGACCCTGCACAGCCCCGGTGGGGCAGGGAGTGCTCGGTGTGACCTCTGTGTTCTCCCCCAGCCCCGCCCGCCCTCGGACCTGGGATTCAGCTTCGATGCCAACAAGCAGCAGCGGCAGCTGATAGCGGAGCTGGAGAACAAGAACAGGTACAAACGAGCTCTGATCTGCTCTGCTTCGGGAGCCAGCCCGGGCTCTGCTGGTTGGAACCCTCTGTGTTACATTAACCAGGTTGTTTGCCCGGATCTTTTGTTAAAGGCGGAGCTGCCTCGTTAACTGATTAGTTAGTCATTAAATCAGGTAATTAGCATTGTGGAGGGGCTGCCCTGCCCCTGTTCCCCAGGAAGTGGGTTGATCTCCACTAATCTTCTTAGAATCATCTTGCCCAGCACTGAGCATCCAGAGCCCGTTTCTCTCTTGTCTGCAGACCCAGAACAGCTCTGGGGGGGCTCTGAGCCCAGAACCCCCCGTGGCCTGGGCTGATCCCCCAGGGATGGTGGGCAGTGAGAGAGGGGATCTGCCCCTCTGCCCCCTCAGCTGAGACCCCCCTGCAGAGCTGCCTCCAGCCCTGGGCAACAGCAGCACAAGGACGTGGAGCTGCTGCAGAGAGTCCAGAGGAGGCCGCAGAGATGCTGCCAGGGCTGGAGCCCCTCTGCTCTGGAGCCAGGCTGGGAGAGCTGGGGGGGCTCAGCTGGGGAAGGGAAGGATCCAGGGAGACCTTGGAGCCCCTTCCAGAGCCTAAAGGGGCTCCAGGAGAGCTGGAGAGGGACTGGGGACAAGGCCTGGAGGGACAGGACACAGGGAATGGCTTCCCACTGTCAGAGGGCAGGGACAGATGGGAGATGGGGAAGGAATTCCTGGCTGGGAGGGTGGGGAGGCCCTGGCCCAGGTTGCCCAGAGGAGCTGTGGCTGCCCCTGGATCCCTGGGAGTGTCCAAGGCCAGGTTGGATGGGGCTTGGAGCACCCTGGGCTAGTGGGAGGTGTCCCTGCCCATGGCAGGGGTGGAACAGGATGAGCTTTAAGGTCCCTTCCAACCCAAACCATGGGATCCTTCTTGCTCCAGAGGGTCACCTGTGGAGCCTCTCCAGGCTGTCTTTGTGCCTGTGCTCAGGTCTCCCTGTTCTCCAGCTGTGCCAGGCCCTGTGATCCAGCTGCCTGCACAGCCCTGTGCCAGGGCACCCCCAGCACACTGGGGTAAAACCCTGCTCAGGGGGGGTTTGGAGGGGAATCAGTTCCTGGAGAGCAGGAGCAGCTCAGTCCTGGCACTGCCATGGCTTCAGTGCTGCACCAAGAGACCTTGCAGGTATTTGAAATTACTCCTGGAGATCCCAGATAAGGGAGATCTCAATCAGTGCTGGTGTGAAGCCCTGCCAGGAGAGCAGCTCAGCAGTTCCAGAGACCTGGAGCTGACAACAGTCTCCACTCCAGGGGGGTTTCATTCCCACTGCAGGGAGGGGCCCTTGGCCATGGCTGTGACGTTCCCTCCCCTCTGGCTGTGCAGGTCCCTTCCCCCCGGGACACTGGAGGGTTTGCCTCTGTTCCAAGGAGCTGTTGTCCTTGTTCCTGCTGCCCTGCCCAGAGCCCTTGGGAAGGGGAGAGGGAGCTCAGCAGAGCTGGCAGGTCCTGCCCCAGGGCCCTTCCTGCAGTACCTGCCGGGCAGGTTGTGCTGAAGATGGAACTTTTGTCCTCTTGGAACAGTCTCTGAGCCCATTCCGTGTGAAAGGGTTTGGAAAGGCACTGCAATGAGTGATTTCACACTTATTAAGTAATAAATTTTCTGTCTTTTGCAGCAGTTCCTACGTCTGCACCAACTTACCCGTCCTGGTGTGGGCCTGTGCCAGCCCCACATGAACAAAACTGCTGTGCCTGGGCTGGGAGTGGCAGAAAGTGCTCCAAGGGCTGTGAAAGCTGTTTGGGAGCAGTGCAGAGAGTGACTCTCCCCTCCTTTTGCCTCCCCTCTGTCGTTCCCACAGGGAGATCCTGCAGGAGATCCAGCGGCTCAGGCTGGAACACGAGCAGGCCTCTCAGCCCACCCCCGAGAAGGCCCAGCAGAACCCGACCCTGCTGGCTGAGCTCAGGCTCTTACGGTAAAAACAACCCCTGGGAGGTGTTGGGGCTCTGGGCTGGGCAGGGCTGGGGGCACTGGGAGCAGCAGCCCTGGGCAGCCTGGCAGGGGCATTGAGGATGCTGAGTTCTGAGGGCTGTGTCAGCAGCTGGGCTTCTGAGGGGCCTTAGAAGTAAATAAAAACGTTTCTTGGTACGGATTCTGTTTGTTTAGTTTAGAAAAGTGTTTGTAAAGAAGCAACTGATGGGAAAACCCAGCAGCAATGGCATTACCTGCTCATCATTTCCTCTCCAGAGGAGCAGAGCTGAGAGCAAATGTCGGTTATTTGATCAGTCAGAGAAACTCCCCAAGTTCAGACCTCCAGGCACAGCCAGAGCTGGAGAACCACCTCCAAAGCCTCTGTGGCCGAGTTGGCACTGCTGGGGCACCTCCAGTGCTGGGGCAGCTCTGGGACCTCACACAGGAGACACAGGGAGGGGCTGGAGCGTGGGCAGGGAAGGGAAGGGAGCTGGGAAGGGGCTGGAGCAGCAGGAGGGGCTGAGGGAGCTGGGAAGGGGCTCAGCCTGGAGAAAAGGAGGCTCAGGGGGGACCTTCTGGCTCTGCAACCCCCTGACAGGAGGGGGGAGCCGGGGGAAATCGGGCTCTGCTCCCAGGGAACAAGGGACAGGAGGAGAGGGAACGGCCTCCAGCTGTGCCAGGGGAGGCTCAGGTGGGACAGGAGGAGGAATTTCCTGCTGGGAAGGGTGGTCAGGCCCTGGCAGGGGCTGCCCAGGGAGGTTTGGAGTGCCCAGCCCTGGAGGTGTCCCAGGAAGGCCTGGCCGTGGCACTCAGTGCTCTGGGCTGGGGACAGGGTGGGGATGGGGCACAGGGGGGATCCATGGGCTGGGAGGGCTTTTCCAACCCAAATGATTCTGGGATTCACTCCCTGTAGGATCTCACACGTAGCCTCCCATGTACAAGCAGCATCAGCTTTCCTGCCTCCAGCCCTCCCTCATTAACAAACTCACCCTGCACATTAATTGCCGTGGCTGCTCAGGGTCACACTGGGGGGTCCCAGTGAGCAGGTCTGGGATGGGAAGGGGCTTCCCCAGTCCCAGCTGCTGGGGAGATGCTCCCCCAGTGTAGTCACAGCGTGTGGTGCCCTGGGCTGTGGGTGTCTGTCAGCACACACCACCAGCTGATCTCAGTTCTGCTCCAGTTCAGGCTGGGAAAGCAGGAGGATGAGAATCCATGGAAAAAAGTCAACGTGTCCCAGGTCTAAAAATCTGCAGCCCAGCCCCTGGGATGAGTCAGCTCCAGCACTGCTGGCAGTGCCTCCTTGGAGAGGAGGATGGATCCGTGTCCTTGTGGATCCCTGCCTTGCAGTGCAGGTGTCCCTGCCTTCTCCTGCCTGCACCACCACGGGAACAGCGAATCACAGGATGATTTGGGTTGGGAAGGACCTTAAGGCTCATCCCATTCCACCCCCTGCCATGGGCAGGGACACCTCCCACCAGCCCAGGCTGCTCCAAGCCCCGTCCAACCTGGCCTTGGACACTTCCAGGGATCCAGGGGCAGCCACAGCTTCTCTGGGCAGCCTGGGCCAGGGCCTCCCCACCCTCCCAACCAGGAATTCCTTCCCAATATCCCATCTAACCCCCTGGCAGTGGGCAGCCATTCCCCCTTGTCCTGTCCCTCCAGTTCCTGGTGATCCTCCAGCCCCTCTCCGGCTTCCTTCACATTCTGGAAGGCTGCTTAGTTTAATAACCACAGTCCTCAAAATACAAGAAGATGTTGAAAGAAGCATCCAGGGTGGTTAATATTTCACAGTCTTCTGTCCTTTAAAGAACTGGTCTGTTCCTGAAACCCCCAGAATGATTTATCCAGAGTGAGTCGCGTGAGAACACAGATCGGAGACACTTGGAGGTTCAGTCTGTAATAGGTGATGCTTTAACTTGGGATTAAGACATTCTGGTGTCCACAAAAATAACTGTGGACAAATAAAGGAGCCTTTTTAACCTGCTTTTCCCCAGGGTTTTGTCTCATCACCTGTGACTGGGCTTTGTGGGTCCTGGCATCTCTTAAATCGCCCAGGACACGGAACCTCCACTGACGTCCGTCTTTGAGCTGCTCCTTCTGTTAGTCACTGCTTTCTTTTTTGGAATCTGAAATCAAACCACACAGTCATATTTCCTCAAATAGCTCCCAGACAGGTTTTCAGCTGCCAAGGAAAGGGAAGGTCACTCCTTATCTGCCGCTGTTGTTACCTGGTGCTGGCGCAGCGAGCGTGTCCCGGCACAGAAATAGCTCTGCTGAGTCTCCTCCAGACAGGCACAGCTCTTCCTCCCCAAACATCTGCAGCCTGTCCTCCTCTTCTTTCCCCCCCTCTCTGTCTTTCCTCCCATGGTTCATCCTGGCTTGTCTGAGCACTCCACAGGATGCCAGGCTCCGACAACTCGGGGTCCTTAAAAGGAAGGAAAAAGTGGGTTTTTTCCTCCAAATGCAGTGCCCTGAGAAGGGCTCCCCTGGGCCAGGGGCTGAGGACACGTCTCTGGGTTTGAAGTGAACGGGGTATTGTCATCTTCAGGTTCATGGGCACTGTGCTGGGCCTCGCTCGGGGTTTTTAGATGGGGAGCAGGGGAATGGTGGGAACCACAGACCCCGTTACACGGGTGAGCTCCCTGGGCTGGTTTGAAATACCCCAAGTTTGTTTGTTTTCTGCCTCTTTCTTCCATGTGACCTGAACAGGCAGAGGAAGGATGAGCTGGAGCAGAGGATGTCAGCGCTTCAGGAGAGCAGAAGAGAACTGATGGTGCAGCTGGAAGGGCTGATGAAGCTGCTCAAAGTAAGGAACCTCTGGTGGGAAAGGCAGCACATCCCTCCCTCCCCTGGCTCTGGGGCTGCTCTGGGATCCCTGCTTTGCTGTCACACCTTATAAAACACCTCATGGGCAATAGGAGGAGTTTGCAAAAAGCCATTTCCATCCTGGCTCTGTGTGGGGGTGCAGGTTGTAAAGGGGTTTTCAGGTTCATGTGATTGAAGTACGGAGAACCCAAGGTTTGGAAGGGTTTAAAGAAGTGTTTGATTTGGTAACTGGGACCTGATCTGGGCACCAGTTCTGTTCTTCCAGCTCTAACTGGGAAATAAACTGGGAGCTGTAGTTCCTGCAGGGCAGGATGTGACTCCCCAGGGCCGTGGGGCTGATCCAGGGGGTGACCCTGCACAGCCCCTGCCATGTCTGAGGGTTTGCTCTGGGGGTGATGTGTCAGCTCTGATCTGCAGCACCCGTCATTGTTTGGGTTCCTGACCAGGGTCCTTCATTGTTTTTGTGGAGTCCTCCCTCAGCTGAGCTCCCAGATGATGAAATACTGCAGTCTGAAATACTGTTACTCCTTTAGTCTCCCCCTTCTTTAAGTCAAACAAGAGCCAGTGAGTCAAACGGCAAAGCCTTGGCCTTAAAGGGGTTCTGGTCTAAGACAAGGTGCCCTGAAGGTGCTGTGGGGGTGGGAGAGAGATGGAGCAGTGCCAGTGCCAGAGGCAGGGTGGGATATAGATCAGCCACAGGCACATCCTGATGATTCCAGGAAAATTTGGAGCTGGTCTGCACTGGGAAGTGACAGTGAATTCTCAGGGCCTGTGACTCCAGAGTGCAGGAACTCCTCAGCTTGGGTTGAATCCTGAGGTAGGAATTCCTACCCCTACCCTTTATCCTGGGTAGGAATTCCTACCCCTACCCTTTATCCTGGGTAGGAATTCCTACCCCTACCCTTTATCCTGGGTAGGAATTCCTACCCCTACCCTTGCATCCCAGGGTTGGGATGAGTGTACAGGAGGGGATGATCAGAACCTCCCCAGAGGGGCCTGGTTTGGGATGTCTGTACAGGAGGGGATGATCAGAACCTCCCCAGAGGGGCCTGGTTTCCCTCCTTTCCCTGGGCAGGTGAGCACGTGTGGGATTTGGGAAGTTCCTTAAGCCAGGGGTTCTGCACTCTGTGTTTTCTCTGCTCAGCCAGTTAAGGTCTGAATTTCAAAATCCCAGAAATCCCAGAAAAGCTTGGGTTGGAAGGGATCTGAAAGCTCATCCCATTCCACCCCCTGCCATGGGCAGGGACACCTCCCACCAGCCCAGGTTGCTCCAAACCCCGTCCAACCTGGCCTTGGACACTTCCAGGGATCCAGGGACAGCCACAGCTTCTCTGGGCAACCTGTGCCAGGGCCTCCCCACCCTCACAGGGAAGGATTTATTCTCAGTATCCCATCTCTCCCTGCCCTCTGGCAGTGGGAAGCCATTCCCTGTGTCCTGTCCCTCCATCCCTTGTCCCAAGTCCCTCTCCAGCTCTCCTGTAGCTCCCAAATTTGTTTAAGAACTTTATCCAGCAGCTAGGACTGGGTATAAGGAAGAGCTCTGTCCCCATGAGGGTGCCCAGGCAGTGGGATGAGGGCCCACAGGGGCTGCACCATCTCCATCCTTGGAGGTTTCCAAGGCCCAACGTGGCCAAAGCCCTGAGGAACCTGCTCTGAGGTTTTGACCCTGTTCTGAGACCTCCTCAGCTGTCCTGTGAGCTGTGACTGCTGGAATTACTGTTTGCCTTTCCCCCCCAGAGCTGTCTGTGGAGCCTGGCAGGCTCCTGATTAAAGCATCTTCCAGAAAGACATCTGGTCTGGAGCTGGAGAGATCAGGAGTGGAAAATTCCCTGCCGATGCAAATTTTGCTCGAGCAGTTAGAAATTCATGCCTGGTTTTTCAGTTCTGACTCAGTTTGCACCCCTTGGTTCTCCCTCCCTGAAATCCAGGAGCACTTTTGCCCCCCTCCGTGTTCTGCCTGCTCGGGTCCTCCCCCAGCTCAGCCAGGGCACTTCTCAGGGGTGGGTTTAAAGCAGTGGAACAGGCAGAGCTCTGCTGGGCCCCTCACAGCACTCTGCTCCAGCCTTTGCAGGGATGGTTTCTTTGCCTTCTTCAGATTTTTAACGTTTTGGGGTGTTTTTTTTAACTTTGAGAAGAACAAGCCCTGTGTGGAATCCTTCCCTGCCCCTCAGCAGCTGGTGCAGAGTCACAGCAGGGCCTTCCCTGCTCTCCATCCCTGCTTCCCTCTCTGTGCCTTTTGCAGGCTCTCAGCCATCCAGCTCTTCCTCTGTGGATTTGTTTCCTCCTGTGGTAACTGGGTAATGAGGATGTTGTGGGTAAATCCTCTGCTGTGAAAATCTCTCACATCTGTGCAGTTCCCTTTAGAAGCCAAACCTGTTGTACATTCAAATAACAAAACCAGCCCCTTTTGTCAGGATTTCCATGGAGTTCTGCAGCTCCTGTGTCACCCGTGTCAGGGGTTGGGTCCTGGGGCAGCATTTCTGTGGCTCTGAGTGAACTGATGGCAGGGCCAGATCACACAGTCAGAAATGTTGGAATGGTTTGGGTGGGAAGGGACCTCAAAGCCCATCCAGTGCCACCCCTGCCATGGGCAGGGACACTTCCCATTATCCCAGGCTGCTCCAAGCCCCGTCCAGCCTGGCTTGGGACACTTCCAGGGATCCAGGGGCAGCCACAGCTTCTCTGGGCAACCTGTGCCAGGGCCTCCCCACCTCACCCCCTTGTCCTGTCTCTCCAGGCCCTTGGAAATGGTGTCTCTCCATCTTCCCTGTTGTCCTCTTTAGGTAATGCAAGGTCACAATCAGGTCACCCTAAAGTTTCTCTTATTTAAGTTGTCTTTCCTCCCTATTTGAATATCCACATCCCAGTCCTGGGCTCTCCAAGCTCCATTAAAAATTCCCTTCCCTGCACCCTGTAGCTCCTCGCTCAGGTAATTATTTTTAAGCTGCAAGTTCCCCAGCCCTGCTGATCTAAAAATAGAAGTTCTAGTAGATACTTTTAACACCTTTTCTCATTATTAGTGTCAGTACTTCCCTGTCTGCTGAGAGAAACTCCGAGGGGAAGTGCTGTGAGTCAGAGCCAGAGCAGAGACACGAATTCCTCAGCCCCTGCTCAGAACTTCACCCCCATGACCCGAAGCAGTGACGCTGCCTCCAGGCTTTGTTTTGGTTTTGATATTTGTGTCCTGCTCAAACTCTCCTTTTCAGTGGTTTCAGCCCTGCCAGACACGATTTTCCCCCCACAAGGTTTTTAGCTCCTCTCATCATTTGGTGCTCCTCAGAAACGTTCATGTATAATTTACATCAGCTGTTAAAGCTTTTATGGGTTTTTTTTTTCCATTTTCTTGTGCAGCATTTTTTACATTTTTAATGCTGCCTTCATTTCACCATTTAGGGCTGGATTCAGCTTGCCCAGCTCTGGTTGTCTGAGAGTTTGGGGCCTCGAATCCCTCTCTGAAGAAAAGGAGACCCTGTGGGTGCCTCCCCTCTCAGGACCCCCCGTGATTCCATGGAAGCCTGTCTTTGGAAGGCCACAGTTGTCCTCTGGGGGCTCATCCATTTTTCCCATGCTGTGATGTTTGGCCCAGGTCTCAGGTCCCTTCAGCCCAAACCGTTTTCTGTGATTTGGGGCTGTTCTGGCTGCTGGGGTCAGTGACCCCCATGAGGAGTGTCCTGCTCTGGTGTCTGTGACTCCACACGGGACCCCCCCAGCCACTGCCATTTGGGGCTGGGCTTGGGGTTTGCAGCCAGGGTCTTCCACATCCCCTCACTGACCCAGGACACTCCTGCTGGGGGTCCCAGGCACGGGAGGTCATGGAATGACTGCTTTGGGTGGGAAGGGAGGGAAGGGAGGCTGTGGCTGCCCCTGGATCCCTGGAAGTGTCCCAGGCCAGGCTGGACAGGGCTTGGAGCAGCACTGGGTGGTTTATAAGGTCCCTTCCCACCCAAACCATTCTGGGATCCTGTGGCTCTCTCCAGCCCCCTGGCCTGGCTCTCCCTTCTCTGCTGAGCTCTCCTGCAGTGCCCAGGTGCCCCGAGCTGGGCTGGCTCTGAGGAGCACTCCGTGGGGACAGGGAATCCCCCTCCCTGCACGGAAATCCCGCAGACAGATCCCCTTTCACTCCCTCCATTTCCTCGCCGGCTGCTCCGGTGATTTATCTGCTCCCCGTCCCTCCTGAGAGGGGGTTTTCACATCTGCACTTAATGCCAAAGCCTCATTTTTCACACTAGCAGCTTTTTTTGTGGAGTGGAGATCGCTGAAGATCTTTTCCCTGACCCTGCTCCCCATCTGGTCCTGCGAGTCCCAACTGGGAGCTGTGGGATGTGGGGAGGGCAGCACTGACCCCAGCTGATGCTGATCTGAGCCTGAGTGGAGCCAGACCCCACATCTGCCACAGCAGCAGCTGGAAACACACCTGGAGGAGCCCTGAGTCTCACCAGAAAAAACCCAGAAGTGTCTGCTCGGAAACGTGGAGTTCTCTGCAGCCACTCCCAGATCTGTCTGCGGGGCACAGCGGGGAAAAAACAGCTTTTTGAGTGGTCAGTGAGGAGAAGCTGCTTTAAATTAAGGGAAAGGTTCTGGTTAATCCTGCTCAGGCGGGAGATCAGGGAGGGAAGGTGGATAAATGGGTTTGTGGATTTGAAGGCCAGAAGGAGCTTTTATCCCGTGAATTTTAATTCCCTGACCTGGATTTCTGGGGAGACGTGTTTAGGGGGGGTCCTCTGTGCTGGGGGTCTGTGCCAGTCCCCTGGGAATGCTGTCACTGCTGGTTTGGGGTACGTGAGTCACCAGGACTGTGCTCCAGCCCTTCTGTCAGAGCACAGAGTGATGGTTGTTGTCTGTGGAAGTGTCTGAATTAGGAAAGAAACTCCCCACTGTGGGACATTTTGCTCATTCCAAGGAATTCTCCTGTAGCTGAAGGCAGGATGTGCCTCCACCTGCCCAGCCCCATCAGAGGGGACATTTCCCTGCTCCAAAAGGGGATAAATTCATCCAAATTTCACCTCTTTTTGTCTTCCAAATCAGGAGGGATCTGTGCTGACAAAGGCACTGCAGGGCAGGAATTGTTTTCTCGGCATCTTTTCCCTGACTCAGCATCTCTGCTGCCTTTGCCCTCCCATTCCAGCCCTGGTGGCTTTGCCCTCGTGGATCCCACTGGCAGAGTCCTGGAATGCCCAGTGGGAACCGACCAGGAGGGTGATGTTCTTCCCCTGGGGCTGTGGCAGTTTTGGGGCTCAGTGGAGGCAGGTTTGTGCCACAGGGAGCCCTTGTACCCCACGTCCTCAGTTCCTGTCCTGCGTGGAGGTGTTTGCTCCAGTCCCCGTGTTCTGTCCTTTCACTGTGGCTCTTGTGTGTTTTGTGTGAAAATTATCATTTTTCTCTGATAATTAATCTTTCCTCTTTCTCTCCTCGCCCTTTTCTTTTGCCAACACCTCTAGGAAGAAGAGCAAAAGCAGGCAGTAAGTTGACTTCACTTTGTAGGTGATCTGACTCTTTTTTTTTTTTCTTCCTGCATGAAATCCGTTTTCTGTTAATTGGCTGGTGTGCAAATAAACCGTGGGGCTGTGGGGCCTTTTCCTCTCTCCTGGGTTTGCAAACAGCCTCCATCAGCTTCCAGCAGAGCATGTTTGGTGTATGTCCTTAAAGCCACTCCTCTCTCCCTTTCAAATGAAGTTGATTGCCACGGGGGCACAACCTGGATTCCTGAGGCTTTCCTGGAATCCTGCATGACCATCCAGGGCTGAAAACGGGAGATTCTTAGCTGGCTTTCGTGATTTGTTTTGTTGGGGATCCTCTGGAGTGTTTCACACGCTAAGGAAGCTTCCTTGTCTCTTCAGGAACCCTTTAATTTGCCTCCTTGCCACATGCAAGTCCATGCATGAAAAACTAATTAATGACTTAATATTCCGGGCATGGATCCGTGTCCTTCAGCCATGGCAGAGTCTCCTTGAAGGAGCCCCGGGGTGCTGGCTGTGAGCAGGAGTTTGAGCTGACAGAGACGGGAAAGCCTTGGCTTTGTTGCCCATTCCCATTTTCTCTGTGCAAACCCGAATCCTGTGTTAATTCCGGGATCCACTCCAGAGGGAGCCCTTTTGCTTTTCTCGGGATCAGCCAGATGTTCGGTGTCCCTCTGCAGCTCGGCACGTTTGCGGTGGTTTGGAACATGGTTGCCTCTCTCCCCGAGCTGTAATGACCATTAATCCTGGGGGGTTGCACTGCTGGGGGGGGTCACACGTTGTTTGTCACGGACATAATTGGATATTGGACACGTGCATTGGAAATTCTGGTGGCTTATTCTTTGTAGGGGGTTGTATATTTTGGGGTGACTTTAAATGGTGAAAACACTTCAGTTCCACATGTGCTGAAAGTGGCTTTTGGTGACTCCTGGGTGGCCTTTTATTAATGTCCTGTGGTCAGTTTGAGGTGTTGGTGAGTGGGCACCTTCTCTTGGAGCCCAGGGCATTGTTGGGTGATCAGGGAATCATGGAATCATGGAATGGCCTGGGTTGGAAGGGACCTTAAAGATCAACCAGCCCCACCCCTGCCATGGGCAGGGACACCTCCCACCAGCCCAGGTTGCTCCAAGCCCTGTCCAGCCTGACCCTGGGCACTTCCAGGGATCCAGGGGCAGCCACAGCTTCTCTGGGCAACCTGGGCCAGGGCCTGCCCACCCTCCCAGCCAGGAATGTTTTCCTAGTACCCAATCTCAGGCTGTCCCTGGGTTTGCTGAGGCACCTGGCAGAAGTTATTTGGCTCGTTGGAGGGACCAGGTTGGAAGGATCTTCAAGGAATGTCCTGGAGGAAGGAGAAGAACCAAGGCACCACCATTGCTGTCCTCCAGCTCCTGACTGTGCCAGTGGAATGCTGTGCTGTGTGTCATTCTCCCACCCAGCATCATTCCTAGGAATAATTCTCTGCAGGGAACGGCAGTGTTATACATTAGCTCATTTTTCCTGTGCTGTGCTTTCATCTGGATTAGGGATACAGCAAAAGGGGAAATATGAGATCAGGGAAGAATTTGACCAATTTTACCTCCCTTCTTTCCCTGGAACACTGTGTCAGGAGGAGGATAAGGAGCCAAAAGTAAATAATGTCAACACAGTGACATTCTGTCTGGGCCAATTCTGTTGGAATCGGGGATGAATGAGCCAAAAAGCCTCGAGAAAGGCAGATTTTGACCAACCAAAGGACATTTTGCTGGTCTGTAGGAGCTGAAACTTTACATCCTCCCTTTACTTGGACTGAGAACTGTTCTCCTAGATATGAAGGGGCAACCTGGAAAGGCTGAGAATCCCAGGATGCTCCATTTGGCTGAGAAAAACACAGAAAGCACAGACTGGCTGGGGTGGAAAGGCAGCTCTGAGATCACCCAGACCACCCCCTCTGCTCCAAACAGGCTGCTCAGGGGTTTGTCCCATCACGACAGTGTCATTAAATCCCAGAGTGGTTTGGGTGGGAAGGGACCTTAAAGCCCATCCAGTCCCACCCCTGCCATGGGCAGGGACACCTCCCACTGTCCCAGGTTGTTCCAAGCCCCGTCCAGCCTGGGTTTGTACGAGGGAAAATGTGGAGCAGCCTCTGGGTGCTGATCCCTGGGGATCTGAGGTGATGATCCTCCCAGCCCTTGGTGAGAAGGATCAGTTGTGTGGTGGCAGCAGGAATTTCCATGAAGGGTTAAGGTAAATAACAGGCAGAACACGAGTCTTGGGTTGGGACCAGCAGCCCATCAAGAGCAGCAACATTTGCATCCACTTTGGAAACCTCTGATCTTCCTTCAGTGCCGGGGCTGCAGGTCCCTCCCTGCCTTGGGCAGAGATCACGGCAGGTTAGAGGAGGGAGACCCTGTTTCTGAGCCTGGGCAAGTGCAGAAACCTCTGTGCCCTGTGTTCAGAGCTGATCTTCCCTCGAGATGTTCACGGTCTCTGCTCTGTCTGGGGCTCACTGGGGCCGGTCCTGGAGGAGCAGAGCCTTGTGCAGGGCTGTTATTGCAGAGCTGTTACTGCAGTGATGGAGCCTTGGGCCACATGGTGTTGGTGGCCCACCACACTGTTCCCCACCGCTGCTGGGACTGTTGTGTCCCAGCTAGTAAAGAGCCTAATTTACACCAGGACCGTTTCCACGTCTCAGCTGGTGAGAAACTTGGACAATCTGCTAAATATTAAACCCCCTTTGTTTTGTAGTCAGAGGAGCAGCCGTAGGAGCTGCGCTGTTCTACATCCAGAGGAACATTCAAGGGATTCCCGACGATGTACATCACACGGATGGGTCCTTGGCGTGTCCCACAGCCCACACAGCAGACCCAGAGCAGCGGCAGGCGCTCGTGCTCCGGCACCAGAGCCCGGCTCTAATGCCAAACAGGCCCAGGAACACAGTGGAGGAGCTCATGGGAGGGCTGAGACGCTGGAATGGAATCCTTTCCTCTCAGAAAACGGTGGGAACCATGGGAGCAGCAGAGCACACTGGGCTCGTGGCCCCCAGGGCTGGGTTACCCACAGAAGTGGATGTGCACTCACCCAGCAACCTTTGGGAAGGCGTGGAAGTCCTGGGGGGGACTTCTTCCTTTAACCCCATGGAGAGGGATCAGGAGTTCCCCTTTTCCTCCCAGGGTTCAGGTCGAGTGTGTAGATGAGACCTCCCAGTGAGCCTGAGCAGTGCCAGGGCAGCAGGGCCAGGGCAGCAGTACCAGGGCAGCAGGGCCAGGGGCAGGGCCAGGGTACCAGGGCAGCAGTGCCAGGGCCAGGGCAGCAGGGCCAGGGCAGCAGTACCAGGGCAGCAGTGCTCGTCCCCTGAACGAGCTGAACCTCCTCAGCCTTGGCTGTAGCAGAGCTGAGCCCAGCAACCAGCTCGGGTGACAGCTGTGTCCCCTCCCAAGGGATGCAGGAACCCGTGAGTGGGGAATTCCCAGCCCTGCAGAGCCCTGGATCACCTGGAGGAGTCTCCTGTCGATACCCAAACCCGAGGCTGCTGCTCAGTTCTGCACCCATTGCATCAGCCAGAGGTCCAAAGGTGGAGTCCCCGTCCCTGGAGGTGTCCAGGGAAGGCCTGGCCGTGGCACTCAGTGCTCTGGCTGGGGGACAAGGTGGGGATGGGGCACAGGGTGGGCTCGATGATTTTGGAGGTCTTTTCCAGCACGAATGATCCCGGGACTCCTCGGCCTGCCAGAGCCCGTGGCTGCACTTGGTGTTGGGAACAGTGTGCCTGGGAACTGCCAGGGAATGTGCCCACTGGGTTGTGTCCCAGCCCTCCCAGCGAGCGTTCCAGCACTTAGATCCTGAAAATTACCTTGTTCCAGTGCCAGCAACACTCCTGTGTGTGGTTCAGCTTCCTGATGTGGACAGGCAGAGCTTTGGGATGAGCTTGGGGTTGGTGCCTCCACGCTGAGAGCGTGTTCCTGGGTCTGCTGGAGGGTATCGTTGAATCCAAGTGGTTTGAGTGGAAAAGGATCTTAAAGCTCAACCAGTGCAACCCTCCAGCCATGGGCAGGGACACCTTCCACTGCCCAGGTTGCTCCAGGCTCCATCCAACCCTTATCAAACCTAGAAGACCTCCCAGAAGAGCCAATGAGTTGTGTGGGGAGCCCATCCTGCGTAGCAATGGAGTTCATCTGTCAGACATTTCGGAATGGAAGGCGGGGTCTGTGCTGCCCTCAGGTGCTGGAGGTGAAGAAGACCCTCACCTGGCTCTTTGGTTGGCAGCAGTGCCCCTGGCAGAAGAGTTCTGGATGTGAGGAGGAAGGCTTGGCAGGGAGCAGGCACGGATGTGTGCCAGGATTACTGTCCTGGAAGTGTTTGCTCTGGTGGATCTTCACTGTCCTGTGGTGGTTGAGTCGGGTAAGAGACACATCCCTGAGTCATGTGGTGTGCTCCCTGTCACCGTGGGATGAACACTGCAGACAGTGTCTGCAGGAGACCTGGTGTCTCTCTGAACAGAAAGAAGTCCCCTCTCCTGGAGCACTGCCGAGTTTCTCCGGGCTGTGGGAGCTGTCCCTGGCCACCCTCTGCTCTCTGTGCCAGGAGGCAGAGCTAAGAGGATTTGGAGAGGGACTTTGGACAAGGGACAGGACAAGGGGCAATGGCTTCCCACTGCCAGAGGGTTAGATTTGATATAGGGAGGGAATCCTTGGGCTGGCACAGGTTGCCCAGAGAAGCTGTGTCTGCCCCTGGATCCCTGGGAGTGTCCCAGGCCAGGTTGGACGGGGCTTGGAGCAACCTGGGCTGGTGGGAGGTGTCCCTGCCCACGGCAAGGAGTGGGATGAGATGAGCTTTAAGGTCCCTTCCAACCCAAACCACTCTGGGATGCTCGGCTGGGGAGGGGTCCCTGTCAGTCACTGCCAGCCCAGAGGGGCTCCAATCCCCCCATCCCGTTGTCCAGAGCACACAGACAGCACGAGGGGCCAAGTGTTGTCAAACAGAGGCTGGAACAGTGGCGAGCACTTGGCTGTTTCTGCTCGGTTGTAGCA